ACTCTTTCCTCTCACAGCAAACCTTAGCAGAAGCCCTTTATGACAGAACCCTGCGAGAAGCTTCGATCCTTCCGAGTAAGTCACGATTAGAGCTTTTGGGAGATCCTACCAAGAAAATGTCGGGATCCCGTAGGTGGTGCCGTTTGTTGCGAGCGATGCAGTCTATCTTGGTACCATTTGCCGCGAGCAACCCTGTCTGCTGCGATCCCGTCTACCTTCCCAGCAAACGCGTCTGCCTTCCTAGCGAGCTCTATCACGCTACTACGCAAAGGAAATGAAGATCGAGTTGCATCAACAACGAGGCCTGCTGGTTGCTAGGGTTTGGGCTTTGCTACCAAATTGAAATTATTGCTAAAAAAAAAAACCTTGTTCATTTCATTGATGATGGGCTTATATAGAGCCTTATAAGTTACAACATTTACAAATAATCTATAAACTTCATCTATTTACTAGTAGGACCTGACATTAGTTACAAATGTCTAACAAGATATATTATTTTACCTGCTAAAAATCCTATCTCCGGCTCTTTTGTTCTCTGCTAAACAGATTCTTGAGTTAGCCGGCCATCCCTACTACATTGGCGTGCAGTTTCATCCTGAATTCAAATCAAGACCTGGGAAACCTACCGCTGTGTTTTTAGGTAATGCAGAAATGAAGAGATATATAAACCAACATTATTTGGAAGATTTACATACATACCACACAACTCTTATGTATTTACATGCTAGCTCCTAAACTTTACTTTTTACATTTATATCTCCCAAATCTTGCACATCACATCAAAACTATCAGTATTTTAACTTATAAAAAGTGAACATGTAAAAATTGAAGTTTAGTTGTTAGGTATGTGAATACATAAGAATTGAGTGGTATGTATGCAAATCTTTCTTGATTTTTATATTTGTAGTACTTTACCTATGCATGAAAATGTGTTTTTCACGTTTCAAAAGTTAGTAATAGTGGTGTTTCTGGAAAAAAATATTATATCAGTACTCCACACGTAGAGTTACGTGCGGAGTCCAATGAAATCACGTTACAGGGGAATATTCCCGGCAACACAGGCAACAGGGGAATATTCCCCCCCCCCCCCCCCCTCTCTCACACACATTCTTTATTCATGTGTTATTGTGTTATGAGAATATTTTTGGTGTTATAATAACATAATAATACATCAATAACACACAATAACACCTGAATAACACAGGAGGAATATTCCCTTGTGTCACCTGGCCGATTTTTTTTCTTACCTTCACGCATGTGACGTGATTTCATTGGCCTCCGCACGTAACTCTATGTGCGGAGCCCTCATGTAATATTTTTCCGTATTTCTGATAAGTTCTGAAAGTTTTGGGTGTTATAGTTGTTAGACATTCAAATACATAGAAATTGTGGGGGCATTGCATTTATGTAAATGCCCCCAAACTATTTTTCTTGTTTTGGTAAATGCCCCCAAACTATTTTTCTTGTTTTGTTTTTTTAGTTTTACTAAGTTTACTGCCCCTGAAAAATGACATTTTTTTTTTTTGCATTTCAGGGCTTATATTAGCTGCTACAGGACAATTGCAAGCTCATCTGAACAAGGTTTAGTGTAATATTTCTATCTCCAATGTCACTTCCTGAGATTTATATGCATATTTCAGGTATTATTACATAAAATCAATTTATTTGTTCCCCTACTTTGGTTGTTGAATTTTCATGCGTATTCAATTATTCTTTTGCAGCATGTAATAGATTTATTTTCATTTATCCATTATCCTCTGACAAAAAACCTATAAAATGCAACTAAATCATAATATTTTCATTTTGATTGGGAAGTTTTATATGATAGAACTTGAAGTATTGGCTTGCAATGTGTATGATATATGTGTAATCCTATAAAATTTGGGCATTTACATCCATACCACCCAATTCTCATGTATTTTACATATCTAATACCTAAATTTTGCTTTTCTACATTTATACCACCCAAAATTTCATCACATACAAAATATCACTCTTTTATTGGTGAAATATACATTTTCCTGGATGGGTAAAGATATAAAAAGCAGTGTTTAGCCGGTAGATATGTAAATACATAGGAATTAAGTGGTCCCCGTGCAAATGCATCTTAAGAAAAATAGTTAGGTCACATGAAGACTAGTGATAAATTTATCAAATTAATCTATTTTAATTATATATTTTAAAATTCAAGCAAACAACCAAGAATATTTTAATTTATTTTATTAAATTAATATGCCAAGTCTAAGCAAATCAATATTTATTTAATATTCATGCATCCCTTTATTTATTTAAAATGGTTTAATGGCATGGGTGAAACTATTTATTGAATTGCAAATAATGATTGATAAGTATGATAATTTGTTTCTGAGACCTGCAGATGACATTACAAACAATAGTAAATGGTAACGTTTGTTATCGTTTTAATTGTTAGTTGACGTTGTACTCCTCCTTAGGTGGCATGTTGGTTGGCAGTTATGTCGTAAGTCCCTTAGATTTGGGTTCAGAAAAGAATACTGTCAATTATTAAAAGAATACTGTCAATTCAGATCGTGCCAGATGAAGAGAAGAAATGGTGGACGAAGCGTGGCAGTTCGGAGGCACTGAGGTTATGCTAGCAGCCGACTTAGATAAGTAGGAAATTAGGGTATTTGGGAATTAAATAAATACATAAACTTTAAAAATTCATATTTTGATTCGTTTTAATGAGCTTTGCCATTTAGCAAAGGATTTTAAAAGTTAAATCTACTAAAAAGCATCTGCGATCTAAAACATCGAAAAAGTAATGTTTTGTTGAAATAAGTTTGGGAGATGCTATTTTACCAAACAAAAGTAAAGTTACGTGTCAACATTCAGTTCAACGGAACAAAGCTTTTTTGCATTCTCAAACAAGTCCTTAGTTTGATGCTTCCCTTCTTTAATAAGCTGATTACATGCCTTTTTTTTCATTATTGATCATCTAGTTTTGATACTATCAAATGCTCATCTTTGCAAAATATCATATTACATTTAAACCTCTCAAGTTGAATGAAATTGAACTTTTATTAAACATTGAAATGCTGCTTGGTTTATTTTGATATTTATTTTATAACACTTAAATATTTAATATAATACAAAAATATCATTAGTATCAATTTTTTAGTATGAAATATGTTTTTCATATAGATATATTGTTATAATTATGATATTAAAATATTACATAAATAAATATTGAAGTGTCGTGTACAAGATATAAAAGTACATAAAAACTCTATGATGTGTGTAAATTCTCATGTAATTCAATGAATGTAGAGGATGCTGATAAAAAAAAAAATTTTAAATACATACCACTCAATTCCCATGTATTTATATATCTAACACAAATTTTATTATTTACATCTATATATCTAGACACTCACCTATATATATATAAATATAAATAAATAAATAAATATAAATATATATATATATATATATATTTATTTATTTATTTATTTAAAATTTATTATTTTAGTTGAAAGTGTTCTTCAGCGTCGTCGTTAATTGCTCTTCCTGAAAGTTCAACGCGCGTAGTTGTTAAAGCGAGCCATGGAATTGAATGCGACATTCTTTTCAACAAACAGCTCGGCCCACTCCTGAGAAAGCCACCGCCGGCCGCCGGTAAGGGTGCTGCTCTTCCTCCTTCTGCTTTCTTACTCGCGCTGTGATATGGATTGCAGAGAAGATCTGAAGTCGATCCTCCCATTCCTTCCTTTCATAGTCCGCTCGTCCTCTCTCTTCTGGCCACCGAAAGCTTTCAATTCCCTTAAAGCTCTTGCACTTGGCACTGACTTCAGTCGAGTCGACTCTGGCGAGATTCTTTTCGATGCCATCACTGATATCAGAGACTCCCTTGGTCTCTCACACGAGCGATTGGCTCCCAACGCCGTCAATGGCTACTCGCTTTTCTTCGACGAGGTATCTTAGTGCTCACCATCATCCCCCGTATGTTTTAAACTGCCTGCTTGACAGTCTTTTTTCTTCGGGTAGTTGATGTCGAGGGCGGATTCGAGGTTCTGGTTCGGTGAGGTCGTGCCGAAGCTGGCGAGCCTGTTGCTGCGACTGCCGTTTCTTCTGGAAGCGCATTATCTGGATTCTGATATGAAATTTGGCAAAGGGAAGGCTGGACTTCGTTTGATGGATCAGCAGGATGCTGGGATAGTATTCCTCAGTCAGGTATGCTTTGATGACGTGTTATTGGTTTAGGAAAGATTCTCGACTTTGTTTAGTGGAATCACGCTGCTTATGAATATAGTTGATAAAATATGAATGTTTGAATGATTACCTTATTGATTTTCAGTTTGATTTGATTCGCTTTCTTTCTGCATTTCAGGAGTTAGTGGCTGCTCTTCTTGCTTGTGCACTCTTTTGCCTATTTCCCACTAGTCGCAGAACCTGGAAGTCTCTTCCTACCATTAATTTTGATCAACTGTTTGCGTGAGTGTTTCAATGAATTGCTTTTGATACTTTTTATTTTATTCTGCTATAATTTTCTTCTTTCAATATATTTGTATATGTCGGGCCATTGGAACATATAATCTCATGTTCACTGGCACTAAAGCCATCCAATATTTATTCTATCTCAAAACTTCTTGTTATTAATGAAGTTGCATGTAATCATCTTTCATCTTATTTTGCAAATTTGGCTTGATGGTTTTTATTACTCGAAATGCACATTCAATTGTTACAGTAAAAATTTTTAAAGTTGAAACCAATCAGATCGATTGATTTACTATAGGTTATATGACCAATTTTTTCATCTTTGCCAATATTTGTCTTACATAAAAATTATGGGTCGATTGTGAAAAAAAATTAAATTTGATGTGCTTTAATTTCAAATTGTTTCAGTTAAATTCTTAAATGTAGCTTTTTCTATCCGTATGATGTCTATAGGATAAAAATTAACAAATGTTATTATTTTTGAATGATTGGTATCTATCTAAAATGATCCTATACTAAATTTAAAAGTGAAATTTCTCACTCCTAAACTTTCATATTTACAGACGACATAAAACATTACCTATGCATTAAAAGGCGGATTTGACTCTTAAAATGGGTAATTAATGGTATTTTTGATGTGATACGAAAGAATTGAGTGCTCTGCATGGAAATATGGAAGTTTTGGTGTGAAATATGTAAATCTATAAGAATTGAATGCTATGTATGTAAATGCCCCAATTTAAGATCAATTAGACCTATTTATCATATCATGCAATTTTGCTCTATTGCAACATTTTCCTTCTATGGTGAGGTCATTCGTGATCTCTAAAGTCAGATGCATTTATATGTAGAATATGTAAATGTCATTTTTCATAAAATAACTATATTGTTTGCAGCGAAAAGTTTCATCATCTCTTTTTAAGGTTTTGAAGATGTCGAGTTGTTGACATCAAAGGCTTCTCATTCAAGATATCTTATGACTCATTATGCTTGACAAAGATCAATTATAATTTTAAAAATCTCTATCATGAGATGCAAATTAAAATACAATCAAGCAAACTATTGTATCATATGCTCCATCAATTTTATTTCTTTTAATTGATGAATTTCCTTAATATTTTTTTGTAACCAACTAGTAGCATCCTAAATGTTAATGAAGTTGTGGATAGAACTCAATGTGACATCCAACATGTAACTCTGGCATGCTTTAATTTTATTCCTTTACAATTTTTAGTTCATTCGTTGCAACCATTTGTGTAGAAAAGGAGTTAGAAAAAAACTTAGATTGTTCATTTTTTCAATGTGTAAGAATAAAAATTTAAGGAAATAAATAACTTCAATAGCAAACACAAAATAATGCCCTTAGTTACACCCCATTTGATCATTTAAGGATTGCCATTTGATGAGAACAGTGGCATCTGTGGGCTTTTTCTTTACTTTTTGTATATGACTCTATATGTGTGGTATTTTCTTATAAGCAACGAATTTGGGGGCATTTTTTTTATCTAGCTCTTTTATTGATTTTTGATCTGATGGTTGCGCAACTCTCCCCTTGAAATTAGATGTTAGAGATTTATCAATCTAAGTTTACTTATAATATTTTTGGATGTGGGGTTGCTGAACCATTTGATAAATATGTCAGCTAGCTTTCTTTTTTTTTTTTTATGGAGTGCAAATCAATCTACTTTTTAATTTCTTTTTTAATGAAAAATCTAGCCACTTTCACATATTTGGTTTAATCATGTCGAACAAGATTGTGAGCAATTTCTATGAGAGTTCTTTATCACAATAAATCTTAATAGGTTTTTCCACTTAACGTTTAAGTCTCTAGTATGATGTTTATCCTTAGAAGCTCATAGATTCCCTAGAAAATTGGCTGGAATTTAGATTTGATATTAGATCTTGATACAACATGTTGTTTCTGATTTCTTCAAGTTATGAGAGTTTTTCTCAATAATATATAAGATCTTGACTAGATGGTTTATCTACATGTGATTCAATTTAATTTAGGATATCTGAGAATTAAGCAACTAGTTTTGACGTGGGAGCTTAGCAAGAACGGTGAACGGAGTCCTGCATGCCGCAATTGAGAGGTTTTGTATTATTGCTGGATCGGTGCAAGAGATCTCACATAATCGTGGGAGCGTGGATTACGTGATCCCGATTGAGGAACTCCCTCAATATCACAAGAGTGCGCGATTGCTGCATCGACAAACTACAACTTCACTCCCGTTTACATATTTCAATTTATTTATTTTCCTTTTTTATTTATTGTCTACTTCTTTATTTTCAATTAAGATTTTTGCTATTAGGAAACTACTTATATGCTGTTATTTTTTTAGTTGAGCAGCATTTTTATGTTGTTATTGTGTTGGGAAACCTTGTCATCTGTTTTAGGATTTTTGGAGTGTTGTACCCTTTCCTTTTGCATGTATTACATATGTAAATTTCTTAGGAACAGGTGATGGATCTTCATTGACCCGTGTACCGCACCATTTTGTCATCCGCCTTTCCGTTTTCAACCGAGCAACCGTCAATCAACACCGAATCTATTGTCCAACAACGGATGTCGCATTCTACCCCTTCTAAACTCTATCAAACTTACATATTATCATTCCTTTCCCACTCCACAACTCTCTCCACACTAAAATCGCTTTTTAAATATCTTATAGGAACCCTAGAACGGTATCAAATTTGAAGACGAGATTTCTAGGTTTAAGTATGAACTGGTTGGCACGCTTTATTATAAATGTGATGTCAGGTCAGTTGTGTTATAATTAAATTAATTTTTCTACTAATATTTGATATTATTCTGGCTCTACTTTACTTCCTACTTTGTTTATGTTCAAATTTTGACATTATACAGTTGGAGTTTCACTTGACTTATATTCCATTATTTTTATTTCATTTGGTAGGCCCATGACATATTTTGGTTGGGAAAGAAATATTTTTTTATTACAATTGAGTAATTTTTATACCCAAGAAGTATTGGGTTTGCTCAGCTCTTTGATTTCAAATTTCTCAGTAATTTTTTCTTAAAGATCTTTTTTTCTTGATCTCCATCTTGTGTAACAATTATGTAATTGATATATATATGTATATGTATACATGTATACATATATGTATATGTATACATGTATACATATACATATATGTATACATGTATACATATACATATATGTATACATGTATACATATACATATATGTATACATGTATACATATACATATATGTATACATGTATACATATACATATATGTATACATGTATACATATACATATATGTATACATGTATACATATACATATATGTATACATGTATACATATACATATATGTATACATGTATACATATACATATATGTATACATGTATACATATACATATATGTATACATGTATACATATACATATATGTATACATGTATACATATACATATATGTATACATGTATACATATACATATATGTATACATGTATACATATACATATATGTATACATGTATACATATACATATATGTATACATGTATACATATACATATATGTATACATGTATACATATACATATATGTATACATGTATACATATACATATATGTATACATGTATACATATACATATATGTATACATGTATACATATACATATATGTATACATGTATACATATACATATATGTATACATGTATACATATACATATATGTATACATGTATACATATACATATATGTATACATGTATACATATACATATATGTATACATGTATACATATACATATATGTATACATGTATACATATACATATATGTATACATGTATACATATACATATATGTATACATGTATACATATACATATATGTATACATGTATACATATACATATATGTATACATGTATACATATACATATATGTATACATGTATACATATACATATATGTATACATGTATACATATACATATATGTATACATGTATACAAACATGTAGTATTAGGTAGCTAGAGAGCGACCCAATTTTGTCCTGTCTGCCTCTAGTTCTTGGAAAGGAGTCAACTAACAAATTGGTAAGATGAGTGTCATTGCCAATAGTAATCAATGTATCATCCAATAAGTTTTTGAGCTCAAGTCGTTCTTCATTCTTCTTCTTCCTCCTGGAATAGACCTGTTATTTCTCATCCGAAGGCTGACTCATCTGATAAGTGGATTGGTCTAAAGTGTGTCCGACATGTGTAGGTTGTTGAACATTGGAAGCATCTATTTGCTGTAGCCGTTGATCTTTTATTGGATCAAAGGAGCACTCTCGTGTGTCTTGACATATAATTGAGTCTTCTTCAATAACAATGAGTGATATGGATACGTTTGGATCAATACTAGTAGTATGTGGAGATGTTTCATGAGACTCCAGAGGACCGTGCTCCAATCCAGCAGCTGGAAGAGTGTTCAAAAGCAGGAGCATCCAGGGGTAGAACGGCTTGGGTATGATGTTCTTTATCTGAAACGACAAAGGTTTGAATAGGAGGGTCGTCAGAAGATTTCCCATCAGGAACAACGTCAGTCAGATGAGCAGAGGTATATGCGATGTTGGGAAAAGGGTCGTGTTACATCTCCTAAGCAGGGATTGTAAGTGGCAAGACGTTCACCCCCAATTCAGTATGAATAGATTTTTAACATGCTGCTTATCTTTAGCAATATCCAGCCTTAAATGAGGATGCAAACGATAACAAATAGTAGAACTGTGGTCAAACATATTATAATGAAAATAATAAGTAGGGTGTGGTTCTATTTCAACATTTTGTCAATATCCGTTGTGAGTGAATCCAATTCATACCTCATCCGGAGCTGGTTGGGTGATATCTCTCTCAACTAACACACAAGTCATAGAGAGTCTGGTGACAGCAAGCGTAGGACTATCAATCTTGAGAGTTTTACCTTAAACAGTTGCTAAGGAGTAGAGAATTTCAAAGTTGAACAGGTGTAGTTTTAACCCCAGAAACTTTATTC